CCCAGCAATGCTGCACCTGTATCCCACGCCCCCTCGCACTGGCTGGCAAGTGGTGGCAGGGCAGAGCCCCTGCTCCCAGTGCTGATGTGAGCGCAGCAGCACTGGGAGCAGGGGCTATGCCCTGCTGCCGCTTGTCCCCTTCCTCCCAGAGTGAGCCGTGCCTGCATTGTGCCCCCCCTCCCCTGCGCCAGCTGGGCAAGCAGCAGCAGGGCATAGCCCATGCTCCCAGCGCTGCTGTGCCCACATCAGCGCTGGGAGCAGGGACTCTGCACTGGTGCCACTTGCCAGCCGGCACAGAAGTGCAGACGCAGCAGCGCTGGGAGTGGGGACTCTCCGCTGCTGCCTCTTGCCAGCCAGCTTGGAAGGCACGTAAAGGTGGTGCTGGTAGTGCTGGGAGGAGGGACTCTGCGCTGCCGCTGCTTGCCAGCCGGCACAAACAGGCATGGGATGCAGGTGCGGCAGCCCTGGGAGCGGGGACTCTGTGCTACAGCCACTTGCCAGCCGGCCCAGAGGGGCAGGCACTGCCACCACTTGCCAGCCAGTGTGGGAGGGCACGGGATGCAGGCACAGCAGCACTGGGAGTAGGGGCTATGCCCTGTTACCGCTTGCCCCCTTCTACCCGGAGTGAGCTGCACCTGCATCCTGCCCCACCACCCCGGCTGGGCAAGCAGCAGCAGGGCACAGCCCCTGCTCCAAGCACTGCCATGCCCACATCCGGTGCACCCTCTCCCCGAGTCCTGTGCCCCCTGGACAGCTGGTCCCAGCCCCAACCACAGTACCCCTCCCTCCCCCAACCCCAACAGACTTACCAGCTGGAGGCAGCTGTGTCAGCTGACTGTTTAGTCTATGGCTGAATCGCCAAATCTTTTTCCAAATTGATTTGGATGCTTTGAAGAGATTTGGAGCTTTTAATTCATCTCCCAATTCAATTCAGATTCAGAGAGTCGGTCCCTGAATCGGGCTGAATCTCCTCCGAATCAAATCAGCTACTGAAGCTTGACATAGACCTATTAGGCACATACCAAGTAGGCCTGTACGAAGTGGCTAGTATTTGCTTCGGATTCCAGGGACAGTGATTTGATTCGGTGATTCAAACCACCGTCCTGAATCGATTCGGCCGAACGTCTGAATCACACAGGTCCATCCCCTGCCCGCTCTCCCAGCCCGGCAATGGCTGCCCCACTCGCTCCAGCTACCGGCACTTTGGAGAAAAAAGCCCCGACTCAGCGGGTGCTGCCGGGCAGGGGGCGATCCCCACTGCCTCCCGCTGCCCTATGCTGCGTGGGGGGGTTCTGCACGACCCCCCGATCCCTACTGCTCCCCCAGCCCCCCCCGACTGCCACCCACTGCAGCTCCGGCCCTTTAAAAAAAGGCCCTACACTCAGCCCCCCGCTGCCCCACACCGTGTGGAGGGCTCTCCACAAGCCCCCCAAAGCCCTGAGGCTGCTGCAGGAGTGAGTTCCAGGGCTTTCTCCGTTTGTTTTTTCTTAAAGGGCTAGAGCTGGCCCAGGTGGGGCATCCATGGTGGGGGCTGGGGGAGCGAGGGGGAGTCAGGGGCTTGTGACACTACCCCCCATGCAGTGGGGATCGCCCCCCTGGCCCAGCAGCACCCGGTGAGTCGGGGCTTTGTTTTAAAGTACCGGGAGCTGGGGCAGGCAGGGCAGCCATGGCAGGGCTGGGGGAGCAGGCAGGGGATGGGGCCTGACAGGGGTCCCCCCATGGTCCCCTGTCCCCTCCTCCAGCCCCCCCTCCTTCCCCACCCCTAGTACTTACCAGCTCCGAGTCTGGCTGCAGCTCCCTGCTGCAGCCACCAGGCACTGTCTGAATCAAAGCTCTCTGAACCTTTTCCAAAATGTGGAGAGCTTTGAATCGATTCAGACCTTTTAATTGGTCCCCTGATTCAATTTGGATTTGGAGATTCAGCCACCGAACTGGGCCAAATCTCTTCTGAATTGAATCACCACCCAAAGCTTCGCACAGCCCTAATACCAAGACTCTTCCCCCATGCTGTGGCTATTTTCATCCCACAAGATGTAACTATAGCCACACTTATACAGTCAAATTTGAGGAGGTCCAAGATTGCTTCAGTGGATAGGTCTGGCAATGCAGCCACTTGCTGTTCTTCCTGGGAACAGCATAAGGGGTGAGAATAAGACCCCATGGGAGCAGGAAGACCTCCCTTCCCACCCAGAGAGGCAAGAGCAGTGGGGTCCTCCAATATCTACTCCAGAACCTAGAGTGCAATTGCTGACCTGCACCCTTCTGCCATGCACCAAGGGTGACATTCTGGTTCCTTCCTGGTCATCTGAGTTTCCAGATTTGGTGGTCTACATCACATTTTTGGTTACCTTGGTGGCCAAAAATGCCACTTACACCTGAATAAGGGCTCTGTGGAGGCAATGTCATGAAGAAGTAGCCCATTGATAGAACCTCTTCTGAGTCACCCAAAATATAGTAGAAGAGACTTAGCTGAAATACTCCTGTTATTGTGCTAATGGGGCAGCAATTCTGCTTCTAAACAGAAGGTAATATAGGGAAGATGAATGGAACGAGGTATGAAAGTGATATCCCTATAATTGTAGACCAGAAAAAAATACAAAAAACTAAAAGCAAAATAAGAATGACTCAGCTATTGCTGGGCTAGGTCTTATGGTGGATATTAGGATAGAAATTCAGCTACTAACAGGAAGACACTGCTCAGGAAATCATGCCCTGTTAGCCTGGGAGAGACTGTGCTAATAGCTGTGTTCAGCTTCCAAGCAAGCTGAAGGTAAGTGAGAAATTTCAGAAAGCCTGCGTGGATTCAGACTGAGCTGAGTGCTTTGGCAGTTAATAAATGTGTGATGCATGCATTCCCGAAGACTCCACAGAAGACTTCCATGCTGGTAAAGAAAAAAGCATAGCCAATAAACAACCACCACAATGGTCCTTCCATAATTATAGGTGAGCAGAATCCCATACAATCTAACTTAACTACTCTGAATCATATCAAAATACCAGATCAACCATCTGATTTCAATGAAGTCATTCCTGGACAAAGGGCCTACTCAACAGGAACGCTTCTGATGGCACTCAGCTCAAAGTTCCCAAGTTCCAAGCTACTATTGGGCAAAATAGAAACTAAACCCATAGCAGGGAAAAGCGATTTTGAGGAGACTTTGTATATTACCAAATGGCCAAGGATGAGTAGAGTCCAAGCATTATGCCACTCTGAGACATAAGGATACAGTTTGTTTCATTTTGCTGTACAAATTCCAGGCACTCTTTAAATGGCTTATATGTCCACCCTGTAAAAGAAATTTGCATTAGAGAAGCAATCTTTCCCTGAGGCAGTTGCATGTCTCCTTGCTCTGATGCCACCAGATTGGACACTGGTAGTCAAAAGGAGTAGCTGACTTTCCTACTAGATGACTAATTCAAAGATCAATCAAAATCTAACAGAAAAGTTGCAAAGTTGTGGGGTTACTTGGCACTTTTGACTGTCAGAGAGTCAGCAAACATAACCTAGAGCAGAGAGATAGACCCAGTGCTGGGCAAAAAAGTATTGTGCCAACAACTTTTTACTGTGGTAAAAGGTTATTGTACAATTCTACTCAGTACTACTGGGAACACCAGCTCTGGCTTGTCTGGTCTAGCAAGTAGAAGGACTGCTCAGGACCTAACTGGAGACACTATTATACCAAGAAAAATGTGCATTAACCAATGTGGCTATTTTCACTTGTTAACTGATGAAGGCTATACTGATAAAAGCATTTGCATACCATGAGGATTTTGCCAGTTTAGGGACACCCTTATAGCTATGTAGACAAAGACACACACACACACGTTAGAAAATTGGCACTGTCTTGGGACTGGAAAGCAGGGCAATTGGAACAGGTACCAAGAGGCATTCTTCCATTCTGACTGGCTTAGTCAGTTCTGCAGTAGGGGAGAGCCAAGTTACAGGAAGCTTTCTGGCCAACTTTACATCCTCCCATCTCCCAAAATTAGACTCCAAATAGTGTGCAATAGCATCCAACCATGTCAAACTTCACACAGAGATGAATATCCCTTCATTTAAGCTAGAACCCCTTTTCTCTGAAACAGTTTAGCCCCTTACTTCAAAAACCAACCATTTCAATTGAAACAAAACTGAAAAATGCCAGACTGAAGCCTCCATTTTTGGTGACCATCCCTGACAAGGAGAAAGAAGACCTTTGCAAAGCATGTTGCTCTCTGTGATCCTCATCATCATCAGTACTTACCAGCATAAAGCAAGAGATCTAGACAGCTCGAAAAAAGACAAGCCTGCGCAAGGATCTTCTCCTCTCGAATGGCCAACTTCTCCAGCCACTGCAGCACTTGCTTACATTCCTGGTTTCTAGGGAGAAACACAAGGAGCCATTGTGGAGGGTTACTCCACGACCCAAACAGAATAAAAAGTAATGTTTCTTCCTTGTGCCTTTATTCCACCATTTCTCTTCCTTTATTCATGCCTTATCCTCTGTTTTCCCATACACTTCTCCACTCATCAATCTACCCTACTTTTCCATCCAAGGTAGGGGTGTGCGAAACGGGCCGTATTCAATTTGGATTTGGATTCGGCCCAAATCGGGGACAGCGATTCAATTAGTTGATTCAAATCACTGTCCCCGATTCGATTCAACGAATCCGAATCTGAAGATTTGACGCTGATTCGGAGAATCAGTGATTCAGCCATAGATACAGCTTTAAATGTTTTTTCTACATACCTTGAGGTAGCAGGCGCGGCTTGTGATCACTGTGATGCTGGGGTGGATGGAGTGTCCCACAGGAGCGCGGGGTGGTCCCTTGCATGCTTGCCAGCAAACCCGGAAGTAAACCAGAAGTACTTCCAGTCCACTTCTGGGAGTGCACCGGGGCCCCCCTGCATCTCCCCGGCTCAGTGATCGGCCACAGGGGAACCCTGAGTGCGCCCCCCAGACTCAGGAGGCACCAGTCACTGAGCCGGGGGCTGCACGGGGGCCCCCTGCACACTGCTTGGCAGACCTGGAAGTGGAGCGGAAGTGCTTCTGGTCCACTTCCGGGTCTGCTGCTAAGAGCAAGGGGAAGCCCCCTGCACTCCTGTGGGATGCTCCATCTGCCCCACCATCTCAGTGTTCATGAGCCTCTTGGTACCTTGAGGTACGTAAAAAAAACATTTAAAGCTGTGTCTATGTCCAAGTCACCAAAGCTCTCCTAATTGATTTGGAGGGTTCTGATTCAATTTGGAGAGATTAAAGGGTCTCCTGATTCAATTCAGATTTGGAGATTTGGCCACTGAATCGGGCCAAATTGAATCAGGGACTGAATCTTTGCACAGCCCTAATCCAAGGTTCTTTGAACAACAAGCTTATGGAGAAGAGTTTCAGTATACCAGCCCAAAATGCAAGACTTGGAATTGCCAGTGATGGTCTACCAGCATTCAAAGTCTTCCCCAACATTCAAAGTCTCCAAGTATGCTTTTATCTGCAAGGACCAGAGTGACCAATCTATCCCTGCAGACAAATGTGCTGTAGAGCAAACAAATATGTGATCAGGAAGTCACTCTAGCCTACAGAATGTAGTAGTTGGTGATATTAAGAATATGGAATAACCCTTTTATCTGCTGGAGAAGGAAGAAAACAAAGGTAACACATGATCCCTCCCAGTCTACATGACCAAGACTCATAAACCCCAAGAGTAGAGATATATACCTCTCTTTGCAGGAGGAATAGATTTCCCTGAGAAGGAAAATATCAGCCAAGCCAAACAAAAGCCAAACATCAGCTTGTCCATATAGGAAAATAAGATTTATCTAATACCTCATGCTCAGAAAGAGGGATTGGAAAAGTACGCTAAGAATCATATAGTCCTGGTTGGGTTTCTTCAGATGCAAACAGATTTCATGGGCTCGATAGCCTGTGGAGAAAACACGCATATTAATGTTTCCCTCTTAACTGTGACAAGTTCTCAAACAAAAAATGATGCCAGAAGACTTACCTAATTCAATTGAAAGTGGCAGGTTACCTAAACAGTGCTTTATATAGGCCAAAGACTGTGCTAATTTAATGGTGGTTAATAGCCCTCCTCCAACCAGCTTTAGGTGAGAGCTACGTTGGATGGCCATCAACTCATATTTCATCCAGTCATCTTGGCAACCAATTGTCTGGCAGCAAAGTGCATATTCTATGTAAGATGAAATGATCTGAAATAGTCCAAACAAGAAAGCCCGTGAGCTTGGACCTGTAGATTAGAACATTCTGTCAAGTATTACCTGGCGCAGGCTTAAAGGGGACTGGATAAAATCTCCAGATTCCTTTTTTCAATTTCCCTTACAATGCTCACCATTAAAAAGTTTATCATAGTTACCAAAGTTTATTAGGGTCACATCTAAAGGCAGCAATCAGGATTGTCCTACTATTGTGCTTGGTACCATACAGGCACAAAATATAAATTTGTATAAGAAATTAATAATAGCTTAAAAATTGGAGGCAACCAAAACAGATGGACGGACATACAGAACTACCTGAATCTCAGGCCAAATCTTTTGGGAAGTTCAAAAATGTCAGTGAATTTTCATTGTCACATTAGCAGATCTCTGTTATCTCTGTTCTTGCCAGAGCTAAAGTGTTGAAATGTCATAAGAGAGTTTACAGCCATCTTAATTACTGGCAGAGAGAGAAGCAAAGCATGCCACAAAAATCACAAGCAGGCTGGTTTCCCATGACATTTTTAGCCCTAGAAGCTTGGATGGCTTGAATAGCATTCAAGGAAAAAACTGGATTCATTGGGATTTTACCCCAAGCAAAGCATTTGAGACGTTACATGTTGGTCCAGAGCCAATGTAAATTAGATGTCAGCTCCTCAGTCCCTTTACAAAAGAGTGTGCCCTAGCAGTTGGAAGCCAGGGCATATTAGTTATTTTCTTCTCTTTAGGACTTACCTGGTGCTCGTCCTCCGATTCCTCTGCTGAGTTCACACTCATGAGTGCTGCTAGCTGAGAAAACTTCCTGCTGGTGTTAGCAGAGTCCTGGCTGAAGATCTGCCACAATAAGGAAAGGCAGTGGTTCTGCTGATACAGACAAGCTAGTTTCTTCTCCCTGTTGCACCAGAGACATTTTTAGGCAGAGAAGGTCTTAGCAGCCCCAAAATCTAACTATTGTAGCTTATCAAAACAGAACAAAGAAAGCAGTCAGAAAGCTCATCTGGGCTATTCTACGTCCTCCTGGGTGGGGAGGCAGCCGAGAGAACGTCGGGGCAGGGGGGGGAAAAGGAGCGCAGTAGGAGGAAAGTTGAATCTTTGGAAGGCTGTATGCTAGCAGTGGTGCTAGAAGCAAAAAGGGTGATAAAGCAAAGGCTGGGGTACCAATGCATATGAGTGTAACCATGAGGAGAAGGCAGGAGACAATTCTGCCCCACAACATCCAGCTCAGAGAAGGACAACAGTGCCCTCCTTCCCACACTTCGGCTTGGCTGACAAGAGGCAGAAGAGAAGATGAGGCTGCTGTATGGACCCAGGCTACAACAGAGCAGCACTTCAGTTCCAGATAGATGTAGCCCCCTGCCAGCTAAGTACGAGCCTGCAGCTATGACCCCAGGCTGCAGCCTGCTGAGCATCTTCCTTATCTAGGCCCCAAGCCTGTAGGTTCATGTTAGCACAGCAATGAGGGCCTTAGCCAGGGCACAAAGGAGCAGCTGTAATTGAGGCAAAAGCTTCCCCCTTGTCCCCCCACTATTATCTGTTCTGGCTGTGCTACTTGGTTCCACTAGTTGTATGACTTACTTTGCAGCTGTTACAGTCAGCCCAGGATCACAAAGGCTGAGAACTACTGTCCTATATGGGTTGTACTATCATTTATCAGGACTGGGTAAGTTAAAGCATTTTTCCCATATTGGTATATGAGCGTTCCCTTTGAACGACTGGTTAGCAAGAAGAGTCAGTTATAATCTGCCTTTAAACTGTAGCAGTTTGTCTAAAAATATCCTCAATAGTCTAGCCCTGTTTTTCAAAACAATTGCCTCACTCTTGCATACTGTACCACTGAAGAGTGTAGCCATTCATAATTCTCCCTTTGTCATTGTATCTAAGCATTTGTGTTTAAAGCTTCGTTCCTGCAAAGGCTTAAGTACAATCTTACCATGAAGTATGAGAGTTGTTCAAATACTTCATGTTAAGCATATGCATAAGCATTTGCAGTATTAGGGCCTAAATAGTGTCCCAGGGTAAACTCTACCCAACCCAATTTTACTCTGATTCTGCTTCCTACCCAGTATTGCTAGGATGCGGACAAGGCTGGTTCTTCTGTTGAGATGCATGCTTTGACATTTCTGTCACGGTCTTAAAAAAGACTCCAATTGAAGTAAGTGGGAACTTCCTGCCAAGTAAACTCAAAGCCTTCTTGAACATTTTCTTTGCCAGTTTCATTTGGCCCATATTATAGCACACCTGTAGAAAGGTACAAACAATAAAACAAGGACTGTAATGCTGTCTTTCAACTGCACTAACAGAAGCTGTTGGCTGTCAGATATCATTTTCTATACCTAGCACTGGGACAAAAAAAGCAGAGACACCAAATACCGTATTTACTCAAATATAAGACAAGGTTTTTTTCCCCTCAGTCAGCATGGGGGGAAAAGCTCCTCGTCTTACATTTGCATACAAGCAAACCTCATCAAATGCATCATCTACGGCATGTGCTCATAATGGAAACAAACTATGCAGTTGATTAAATCCAGCCAACACTGAGCATGACTGTAAAACATACAACCTGTATTAGACATTTTTTTTACAAAAATATTTGTGTATATGTATGTATGTGTACATATATGTGTGTGTGTATACATGTATGTGTGTGTATGCATGTACATATACATCTACATATGCTGGGTTTTTTACTGTAGCCGTGTTGGTCTAAGGATATAGGCAGGCCAGGTTCTTTGGGTAGATGTGATATCTTTTATTAGAACAACTGAGTAGTTGGAAAAAAGTTCTTTGCAAGCTTTTGGGTGCAATCACTCTTCTTCAGGCATAGGAAGTCTCCGCTGTTAAGAGATTTCCTATGCCTGAAGAAGGGTGATTGCGCCCAAAAGCTTGCAAAGAACTTTTTTCCAAGGACTCAGTTGGTCCAATAAAAGATATCATGTTCCAGGTCGAATCAGCCAAATCAATTCCAAATCGTATCAATTGAGTAGAACTCAATCACTCCAAAAACCATATTGATTGAGCAGGCAGAACTCACTCGTTCTAAACACCATGTATGGTGCTATAACCAATGAACATACTTTGTTCCAGGTTCTCAGCCTGGAACTTCCAATATTCCCAAATCCATTAGCAGGCATCCTACACCGAGAGGCCTTGGGATTCAGATGGCCCCACTTGATCTACATTTGATCTGAGACAAAAGACCAAGAAGCATTAGTACAACTTATCTGAATAAGATACATGGTAGTGTCCATTGCATGCAGTTCCCCATAGCACTGATTCCTTTTAAAGCCATAGTGAGCCACCATACTGCATATATATTCAATGTTCTCTTCACTCCCGCAGCTGAGCTGTGCCTTTCTTTTCCATTTCCAATGGCTCCTGTTTCTTCACCATCCTTAAGCATCTGACAAACATCACTAAATAGGGCCCCAAACAGTTTACCTAGATCTCCTCTGTTACCTCCTGTCTTAGCCTGTCGCATATGATTAGTGTGACCCTGTCCTCCATGAGATGTTGCCAGACCAGGTTTCCCTTTGCCTCATATGCAAATACATTTTTGGAGGATCCCAGGACTTGTAATGACACCTGGTTCCAGTCATGAGTGGAGTGGTCTAATTAACACATGGATCCTTTGTGGGGAGTGGTTGGAGTACACAAACATACTGAGCTGTGCTGAGCTATAGGATCACGATGGCTTTAAATACTGTTGACTCTGCTGCAGCCCAGCCCAATGAGCTGTATGGTAAATGATGAGCTTTTTGGCTTTGGATTAATATCATGCATAGTTTGTACTATATATAAAGTAGGTACCAAAGTGCTGCTTAAGAGTGTGTTTATGGAGTACCTGCGCTAAAACTTGCAGCAGTTTAAAAAAAGAGGTAAAATGCATCAAACCTGGATGAATTAAGTCTCTGGGTACCGGTAGTAATTTGCCTATTTGAAGATTACTATAAGCATGCTTATTTCAAAGTCAGTGTTTTCAAATTCGTTCCTCACTTCTATATGCTCTGGGAAGGGTGTAACAGCAAGAGTGGGGATGGGCCTTCAGGGAAATGAAGTTGGGGAGGCAGAAGGCAAGGGAGCCACCTGAACCCCCATATTTATTTTCCCAGCTGTAGCAGTGGGTGGGGGACAAATTCAAGGCAAACCTCCAATAATTACATTCTATATCAGGTAAATTGTAACAAATTTATAAATGTTCCATATATAGAATCTAATTATTCAGGGGGTTGTCATATAATCAGGGTCATCTTGTATTTGAATAAATATGGTACATTTCCCTGAGCATAATATATGTTGAATGTATTATTTCCTTTATAAGAACAACTAGGAAGCTAAAGCCCCACCCTAATAACTGCAGCCATTTGGTTATTGTTCTGTATCAACTGAGTTTAAGACCATCTGGTTTTGTGCTGAAAATCACTGCTCTGCAATCAGAAGATCTAAAGCACATACATGAAATGTGATATATCCACCACCTCTTGGTAAATGTGCTGGTGGTGCTGTTGCAGGGAGAGGCAAAGGGGGAATATTAAGCTCCTGCTTCAACAGGTAGCTAATAACTTTGAGTGCCTGGCTCTGAATCAGAGCCAAGAAGCCTGAAATTGTTTTGATTGACAGGTGAAGTGGACACAGGAGTATAGACTGATGAGACCAATGAGAATCAAGGGCTAGGAATTCCAGGACACTTGCTGTCATCTTCCATGGACCACCTCAGATATACATGAAAGGATTCCTCCCTATCTGTCTCCTTACCTCGCCCTTAAGGCTGTAGAAAGTGGCTTCCTCAAATGGGCTAATTACATTCCTTCTAGGATCCAGTGACTTGATCAGGCTCTCGGCTATATTCAGATTCATAAAGGCCTAAAACAAAGCAGATCACAAAGAGAGCAAATGACTTTCTGTGAAAATCACACATCCAACCCCACCACACACTGAGGATAGACAGATTAATTCTATGGTCACCTATGGCCAGTACAGATGACTAGAGAGAGTCAGTAAGGAATCCTGTTGGTGGAGTGGTTCACTATAGGTGGAGAGAGCTCTCTGATTCCTACTTTTCACATCCCAAGCATGTTGTAAGAGAAGAAGGAAGCATTCCCAGGTCAGGTTATAAATAGAATAGGGTCACAGCAAAGCATTATACCTGATGCTTCACTGTTAGAACTGTTCCAACCATGGTGCAGTGCAGCCTAAATCAGAGAGATGCAGTGGGGGATGCCCACTCTTCCCCATCCAGGATGAGCTCAAACATAGTGGAGAATCTACCCCAGGGGACTGGGAAGCTTGCATGTGGTGGCTGCTGCCGCTATCCACCACCCCATGCTGCTGCTGCTCTCCGCATCTGGCTACGCGCCATTTCCACCCCTCCACAACTCATGTCTGGCCGCCAAGGAGTACTTCTGTTAAAAAAGGTTGATCTAGCCTATAAACCCAAAGAAAACTCCTATGCCAAATCCAGGACAGTAAAGGAACTTTCATTCTACTTGGAATAATCCAGGAGCTAGAGGAGCCACATGTAGAGTTGGGACATGGGTCCACACAATCAGTGTCAGTGTTGAGTGACTAATGGCACTGACTGTAGCCTGTCATTGTATAAATGAGCCACAATGGAAGCCTCGTTTGCACAGTTATGCCAAGAAATCTCACTGAAGAGCTGCAGCATGCCCCACTATAACAGCCCCTTTTCCCTTTCAAATTCCACTCCCACACATAGCTCTGTGGATGCTCCTGACCTAAATTAGCACCTGCTCCCTGCTACTTTAGTTGTGGGCTCCTAAATAGACCTGTTAATGTCTGACAATCCTGACTCGTCTGTCAAGATCACTCTGGAGCAGAGACTGCTCTTTAAAATATTGATTAAATGTTACATGATGAAATGTCACCAAAAGACTCCTAAAATCACATTATTTATCATTTCACAAACCTCTTAGGTATTAAGGTCGTGAGCCTTTGAGCCCTTTGTTGGCACTGGATTTATGACCCAGATACCTTGTTCTGGGTGCACTCAAAACCCTCAGACTGACCATGATCTCTCCATTCAATAATAGGCAAAATTTACTGATACACAGTGATAAAAGATAAACATAATGCAAACAATTCTATATCTACCAGTCCTAGAGCTGTCACAGAGGAAGGTGTGTCTAACCAGTATACAAGCTTTACCCTGAGATTCTTTCTTAAATGTCAGATATCAGCAGCCTGGAGGCAAGAGGCTGAGGCCCATCTTCCCCTGCATCCCTCCCTCCATCCAGTGGGATGGATGAGATGGGCTGCTGGTGTGTAGCAATGGTAGCCTCAGGTTTCCTTCTTGGAGTCCTTTTGCTGGTCTTAAATTCCTCTTTTTGCATTATTTCTCCCCTCTGATGACTCTTCATCTCTGGGTATCATTGACTAGTTTCCCTGTGTTCATCATACTGTCCACATTCTATCCTTTCAGCATATTCCTTTGTTTCATAAAGCCATCACATGCACACATCCTACTTTGGTTATTTATTACTACTATGAAACTATGAAATTGTTTTTTCCTAATTTGGTCCATCTACCAAAACCAGAAATCCCCAGGGCTCTGCAGTTTGGCACTGTGATCTGGAGGGTCCCTTATCTCTATCAGGGTACACTGTTCATGTTATGGAACACTGTAGTACACGTTTTCCCAGCCTGTGTGTCTTCTTGCCTGTGTCAGACACAGTGGGCCTTGAAGGAAACTTTACCATAAACAGGCTTTTAGAAATTAATTATGCCTTGCCATTGCCCTGGACCATTGTTCTAATCTAATGCATATCTACTTTACCTACAAGCCAGTTCCAAAAAGAAAATCTCTAAATACCATTTTCTAGTCATCACCCATGTTCCCAGGTGTTTTCTTGAGGGCAAGGGCTGCCATGCAGCATCCCCTGTGCTCGCAAAGCATTCTAACTGTCAAACACAAATCAGATGGAACTTACCCTCCCACATGCTGCATTTGTGACATTAAAATCCCACTTCACAGCAAGAGGTCTTGATAATAGAGGAAGGAGAGAAGGAAAGTTTTAGACTTGATCCCACCATTTTCAAAGTACAAAGAAATGTATGTTCCTAGATGCACGTGAGATTCTGCCAAAATGGGGAGAAGCAATAAAGAGAAAGAGATCAAGGGAGATGACAATAATTCATTTGGAAGTTGGGTTCAAGGCAGCTCACCATATAATTGTTTGAAAGGCGTAAGTATGCAGCTGCACATTCCAACAAGTAATACAAGGCTCTGTCTTCATCTCCTATTGCCATGCAGTGCCGGGCAAGGGGCATAAACACGGATGCCACAATCTGTTCACATTCACATGATGCCATGTATGTGATCTTCCCTCTACCCTGGCCAAAAAGACGAATGATCTCATCCATCCTATCCAAAAACTCCTTTTGTGCAGCTTCAGCTCTGGTCAAAGACAAGATCACAATTAACAATTAGGAGGACTTCCCTGATGCAAATATTGTCATTCTCCCAGTACAGACCAGGAACAGTATCATAGTGGCTAATGGATATAGATACTGATGACTGTTTGGCAAGATGAATAATTAGCCAATCAGAATTAGGAATCCCAAGACAAGTGGGGTACAGCAGTCTATGGGGTAATGTTTCAATATGAATATGCATAAATTAAAAGGTATTACCATAACATAGTATAAATAAAGCCTCCCAGCATAGCACTAAGTGGGGAGAGAAAACACTGGATCAGTGTCTAATTAGTCTGAGAAGCAGCAACCTGTTTCACCTACTTTGAGTCTCCCCCACAAACAGTTGTGTAAGTAACATGAATGCTAGTCCTTCTATATTGCTTTTATCTCCCTTGTACAATCATAGTTGTGTTGGGTTTTTTGGGCTTGTTAAATAAATGAGTTACCACTGAAGACTCTGTCTATCGATAGCCTCACTACTATAACAAACTAGACCAAGGATCAAACCCACTAAGACAATATCCTAAATTACATCAGTGTAGATGCTGTGTGCCTATACTTATCCCAGAATTACCTAATGGTGAGGAGATATAATATTGCCTATAGCATTCATGCTACATAAGTCATCATTTCTCTGCTCTGGATCCCAGTATAATTTATATGGATATATGAAACTGAAGTAAATTACATATATGTTGATGTGTCATGCACCTATGCCCATGATGTGCTGAATTCCAGTTATTAACTCTGATTGGCATAAATCAGTCAAATTGTAAATTACACTACACTACCTGAGATTTTCTTCTAGCAAAGTACCATCTTTCTTTAATAACCTTCCAATGTCTAGAAAGAAAAATAAAAAACAGTTAAATATATCATCATATGTCACAGAGAAAGAGCTACTTCTTACTATTTTTCTAGCATTATGTTAATGAGATGAAATTCAAATGAGGGAAGTTATACTTGATAATCCCAGAGGTTCATTGCTGAGTTAGCTTGATTTATCTACAATCAATTTACTCCTTCTGAATTAGCATCGCTTAAATGAAAGCAACCACACCGTTAAACTGCCCTCAAGATGCTTTGCCCACACTGGTGCCACTGTCACTCACATGGCACTAAGGCTTGTATGTACCATGGTAGTGCTGCATCCTGATGAGCATACTCCACCCACCCCAGTAAATCCACTGATGTACTCAGCCACATGCTCCTGGAACACGGCACTGTTGGTCCACTGCTGAGGACCCAAGTCTGTTAAGCACAAATTTATCTCTGCCGCACTGATCGTCTCCAGCTAGTCTGTTACAGCCAGGGAAGGTAAATGGAAAATTACCTTCTGCAATGTGTGGAATAATTGACCCCAATCCCCTGGAGAAAGCAGAAATATGGTGATCTGAAAGTAAGAGAGCAAAGATCATGTTTATGTAAGTGTTCAAGCAGTTTGTGCTCTATACAAGACAAAGAAGCACATTGCATTCCTGGTAAAGAATCTTTACCACCAGTGGTGGCCAGAAAACTTCCAGGAGATGGTTGTCTAGAGAAGGAGCGCACCGTCAAGGATGGAGGTCCTAAATATGGCTGTACCCTAGCCAAAATGGCCTTATCTTACACAAAAGGCTCCTTTCCAGAAACTACCCCAAAAGAGCTGATATTGGCTATCCACAGCTGGTATAGAACAGCATAGCTCTATGGCTATCTATGGGGCCATGCTCATATACACTAGTGTGGCATCTAATCCAAAGCATTTTGTGCCCAAACCCCTCCCCTCAACCCAGGTGCTGAATGAGCTCACTATGCTTCTGGCCGACTCCTTAAGAAAATGCAGCATTTGATTAGTTAGAGGGAAGGGCAGGGGAAGTATTCAGCTTTTCCCAGCTGCCCATTTTTATTTCCCCTTTTTCTTAAATTTCATTATTTTCAACCTTGAATTTTTAAAGTTAATGCATGAGCCTGAGGACCAAACCCTATCTCAGCTACCAAGAGGCAGCTCCCATTGATATCAATGGAAGCCCTATGTCCAATAAAGCTGGACTTGGACTTGTGCCTCACTAGTCTTCCTAATACAGCTCTGTTCAAGTTAGCAGCTGTTCTAAGCAAGATGCATTACAGTCAGGACCAGCTCCAGCTGGTCTATTACAGTCGAGGTTACCTTCTGTAGCATTTTGTGCAACTGACCCATGTCTCCTGGAAAAAATAGGCATATGGATATCTGAAAGTAAGAGTACAAGGAACAAGGTTATCTAAGTGTGCAGGCAGTGTATGGTTTATTTAAGACAAAGAAACACACTGCCTTCCTAGTGACGAGCTCTTACCTTCATCGAGAGGCCTGAAAATTCTAGAAGGCGAATGTCTAGAGATGGTGCGCATAACCACAGCTGCAGTGTCTAAATACGACTGCACTCCAGAAAAGATAGTATTGAGCTTATTTCGTGATTCAGGGATTTCTAAGTATACGAAGCATAAGACATTAGGCTTCTTCAAAATGAAAGGCATCCTGTGAATACTGTAGAAAGTTTTATTGTAATTTCACCTCTATCTGGGTGGAACTATTTTCAGAAGTCTTTCCTGCCCAAGTGCAAGGGGGCTGGACCTGACAATCTGTGAGGTCCCTTCCAGCCCCTAACAACTATAAAACTATGACCAGAAGTAATGTAACAACCAGTAGCATAACTAGGAGGGGGAGAAAGGGGCACCAACTTAGGAGGAGCACCAGAATTGCCCCCCACCCCCACAGAGTCCCTTCCCTGGCAGCAAGAGCAGCCCCATGGCATAGCTCTTGAAGCAGAAGCAGCCCATCAATGGACACTGCACTACTGCTGTAAGAGCAAGAGGTGGGAAGGCAAAGCATATGGTGGCAGCAGGAGCAGCACGATCAGGGACTGTTTTGGTGTTCCCAGCATGAATAAGACTCCTGTGCTCCCCGTCCCCACCCCACTCAAAGCCGTGCCTCCCCACCACCCCTGTTTTCAAAAAATGCCCTCCCGCCACCTTGCTTCTCTCCCACAACAGTTTGCCCAGGATGCAAGCTCTGCTTGTTACACCTCTGGTAACAACCCGACTGTTCATCACATTCTTGTTCCAGCAGGTCTGGGCAGGATAAAGTATGGGAGATCTATCAAGAGTTCTAATTATTAACTTAAAACAATACCATACAGTAACTCTAACCTATATGAGTCTGTCTTTCTGCCAGACTTCAGACTAACACAATTAACAACTTCTCTTTGTTAATCAAGGACATAAAGCCCAGTTCTTCTAAAGAATGTGTGCTATTTGGAAAGCTATTTAGAAAGCTATTTGGGTATTTCAACATAGTAGGCAAAATTCACCCTGGTTTAACAGCACCAAAATACCTTTACTATTATCGCTAATTATTTTGCAATTGTCTTATTATACGCTGCCTATATCTTCTTGGGTTTTTTTAAATCTGGAAACCTCTGTGATATATATAGAAATAATGTTTTCACATATGTTTTGTCAGGATATGTTTTATCAGGAATTACTAAAACTGAAACTGAATCAGAATATCTGCCGTGCTTCTATTCTTCCTGCAAGGCTTATCACAGGGTTTGGCAGAACTTGTTTTCATCCAAAACATGGACGTATCCAATTGTGTAGCACTCCCTAGCACTAGGTTAGGACATTGGTTCACTAATGACCCAGGGAAATAATAAATGTCTTCCCTTCTGAGCCTATATCATTCTCTCTTTGTCCATCTCAATATCTCAGTATTTCACCTCTCTCTCTCTTTTTTTTTCAGTCTCTTATCCCATTAATCCAATAAATCAACCACGTCTTTCATCCCCTGCTTCCTGCAGCACTCTGGGGATTTCTCTTGTAGTCTCTCCTTGTTCCCTTTAAGGTTATTGTGGGTTCTTTATCTGACTGGACATTTTACCTTCATTTAACTCTGTGTTATTTTCTTGTGAACACATCTCAGCAGGCACAACTTTTCGGTCTATACCTGCCAAATGGAAGACAGAAACAAATTGTGATATATAACAACAAAATGTGTCATGGCTCTTTATCATTTGTCTGGCGGTGGAGTCTGGAGACCAGAGTGCCATTGCACTAGATGTAAGATACGTATAATAAAAAAGTTGGCCAGCTCCAAAGAACCTACAAGGAGCAAATTCTGCATCAGAACCAAGTTCAACTGCAGGACTTATTAATTTATACTGGCTTGTTTGTTTTGAAGGGTAGATTTATTTCACCCTCCCTCCCTGCATGCCTCTCTAGGTCTTGGCTTCTGCAATGTTGTCCAGGCTAGTTCAGAACTTCTTTAATTTAACAGCTACCAAAGACATGGAGAACAAATATTAGTTTTAGTAGCTTCTCTTCTCAGCTTTCCAAGCCTCAGATGCTCTACTATTCCTTAGCCTACCTCATTCTACCTCAGCTTACCAGCCTACCTCATTCTGTTGAGCTAAATATAGTTCTTTCCTACCTCTGCTGCCTTGGCTCCATGTGTGAATCCATGAAGCATGTTCTTAATAATAAGATCAAGCCTAGCTTTAAAGGGAAAATCATGCAAGAACTGACTTCTCTAGGCAGATTTCCATCAGAGCAAGGACACACAAAAAGACATGGCAAATTCCATAGCATCAAGGAAAAATGCCAAATTCCATATACAATCCACAGGCCTCTAAATAAAATGAATAGAAATCATTGTTTCAGCTAGCAACATTTCCTCAAAACTAATGTTAAGGCTCTCTGAAGACACAAGCAAATGACTTCACAACTTTTAATGCTCATTTCATGCTTTTTTCATCCACCTAATACCTAGAAGCATAAGCATTTTTAAAGAAAAATGAGACTTTTGACTCTGGAGCATAATGTTGTGGCAAGGGGTGAATTTCCAAACAAATTCTATAGTCATGAAATCAGATTTTGGCATGGGCAGGAATCCCTTGGTAAACTGACAGCCCCACAAAGGCAGTTTCTTCCTCTGTATGCAGTCGACCTGCCTCTACAAGTCTGCATGTTTCCACGTGCTTCCACAACCTCAGTCTCCTCTCTCCCTGCACTGAACACTAGAAAGCAATGCAAGGAAATCCATGGGAAAGGCCCAAGAGCTAATGGGGTACAGAAGGATTTGAAGGAGATAGGGCTGAAGTGGGGAAGTATAGAAGAAGAACAAAGAAGTGCCCCTGTGATGGATTGTGTGATGGAATAAGGAGGAAACAGGAATACGTGAAGTGGAAGAAAAGAGGGGTGAGGGGTAGCAAAACTGTCTGATGTTTCCTGAGTCTAGAAGATGCCTCTATCCACCAGTCCCAACACCTCAGAATATGCCACAAAACAGTGAGAACTTGAGGAATGTGGTATGGAGTAATTGCCAACACAGCCCTGTTCTCTTGAATACTGCAAAACATCCCTTCTACATTTCCTGCCACATGGTATCATGGTCTCTTGGAGAGCCCAGACTCAAGACCGTTTTATAAACTAGGATGTTCAATAACCTTCAAATGAAGGAGACTCGATTTTTCCCAGAGCTATGGCAGTAACCAATGAGGCTGCTTCACTGAATGGATATTCCTCAGGTTCCTCAAAAACAAGTTCCTGGTCATCTGGTATCTCTAGCGTCATCTCAATTGCATAGCGGTGGAATGAAATGAAGTCCCCTTCGCCACAACGCTTGCATTTGTGGGCCTGCTTCTGTAGGTAAGCAGCACATTTGTGATGTAATGCTTCTTTCTGGCTCTTCAGCCAGAGCTCGTAGGCTGCTTCCTGCATCAAGGCCATGCAGAACCCCATGCCGCTGCACTGCATCACTGCCTGCTCCAGTCTGATTCTGTTAGCCACAGACATTTGGACACCTTCAAAAAAGCACAGATTTCTAAATCAGCTCCCACCTGCCAAGAGCAGAGTTCAGTCACCCAGGGTGCTATGCTTCTACTGTAGCCATAGATGAAAGTGTTTACACTCAAGGTTTAAAGCTTCACTCTTGTTGGCTTGTTAGTAGCTGTGATTGAACCCAGGACCTTTAGATTTTAAAGGCATAAACCTCAATCCCTGAGCTGATAGGCCCTTATACAACACAGGAGTAGTTTAGTGGGATACAGGTACATAACATACTTGGACAATAAATCAAAATTAAAAATATCAAGCATAATAATTTAGCTCACCATACCTCACTTTGATCTCTATTCAGCCATAAAGTATACTGGTGTTTGATGGACTAAAGAGTTTACTTAAGTGATTTAGGAACAAAGAACTGGAGGGAACATCCTGGGACATTAAGTCCAGTCCACTGATATCATAGGCAACCATGTCATGTAATTGCTTTTGTGGGCTGATCATGTTCCACATTAAAAATAGTTAGTTCTTTTTTCTCTAACACTATGAGAAAGGTGTCCCAGAACTGTACTTCTGATTGTTAGAAGCCACCACCTTATTTCCAGCCTCAATTTCTCCACAAACAATTTATGCCCATTTGTTCTTCTGCCCATATTGTCCTAAATTTAAATAGTCATTTTCCCACTCTGGCATGTTTATTTCCACATAGTGATGTCAATACAGAGATGTATCCTATCCCTGGCTTGGTTTTTTTTGCTTGCTAGGCTACACAAACCATAGCCATGCATTTTACTGAGGTCAGAATAAATTCAGTATTTATGTGGTTGTATTATAGTTATTATTTGTATTAGAATAACTTTTAGGGATTCCAACTGAGATCATGGCCCTCTGTTACTAGGCACTTAACAAACAATGTTAAAAACTATCCCTGAGCTAAGGATCTTAAAAAATATGAAAACAAGACAGACAAAGGAAGGAAAGGAGACGGGGCTGGGGGGTGCTAGAGAGCTGGGCCTGCAAAGCTGGGGTATTGGTGGGGAGCCAGGCTGGGCCTGCAAAGTGAGGGGGGGCTCTCTTCCCCCACCCAGACCTCTTGATAGCGGTAGGTAGCAGAAGCTGCTGGTTCAGCTTTGCAGTAGCCGGAGCTGGAGGGGTGGAATGAAGCCCCCTCATCTTGCAGGCCCAACTTATCTCCCCCCAGTACCCCAGCCAGGGCAGCTGAGGGGAGCCCACAAGGTGAGGGGGCTCTATTCCACCCTGCCCCCCCACTCCAGCGCTGGCCAGGAAAAGCCCAGCTGGCAGCTCCATGCTTTTCCCTCCCCCTCTGACAGCCCCGGAGTTGGGGGGTGGGGGGCCAGGGAGGGGCAGGGCTGGAGAGAGGGGCAGTTTGGCAGCTTCTGAGGAGGCTGCTAAAGCACCCCTGCCTGCTGGTAGGGCTACGCGAAATGTTGCCCAGCATTTTGCTTCAAAGCTGTTTTGATGCGTTTCGAGCTTGAAACACTGAAATCGAAATGAAACAAAAGCCTTCTAAACAGCTTCAAAAGGAAACAAGGGAACTCAAAACATTTTGAGTTTCAAAGCCAGGCTTACTGGCTTCAGCGCCGGTCCTAGCCAGCAGCACCCGCCTCTTCTCATCCGACAGGCAGATTTGGGATTCCCCGCGCCCCCAGGAGGGTTGCAGGAGCTGTGTCGGAGTCCTCCTGGGGGTGTGGGCCCCCAATCCGCCTGCCAGATGACAGACCAGCGCTGGCTGCAGCCCACACCCAGCACCAGGAAGATCGGTGCTGCTGCTGGCCCCAGGCAGCAGCACATGCTCTTGTCCCCAGGCAGCAGATCGGGGTCATGCACCCCCAGGAGGACTCAGGCACAGCCCTCCCAGGGGTGCCACCAGGCCCCCGACTTGCCTGCTGGCTGACAGGAGCCAGGTCCTGCTGCCTGGGACCAGCGGGTCCGGGGCATATCAGCTGGTGTGGGGACCCACTGCCCCGATCCCGGGGCAGGGGAGGGTGCCTGCACCAGATGATCTGCCCTAGAACCCCACCTGGAGTCGGCTCTGGTACAGGGGACCAGCAGCAGCAGCAACGATCTTCCTGGTGCTGGTCCCAGGTGACAGCATCCAGCTTCTCTCATCTGGCAGGCAGATCAGGGGCTCACACCCCTGGGAGGACTCCGGCACAGCCCCAGCAGCCCTCCCAGGGGTGCAGGCAAGCCCCTGATCTGCCTGCCTGCTGTGTTTTACATTTCCCCACAATAACCTATGGGCAAAACATTGAAACAGCATCAAAACAGCAAAACAGTTTTGAGAAAACTGAAAAGTGCTTTCGAAATGAAACAAAACTCGAAATAAAACACTGTTCTGTCAAATTGTTGAAACGGAAGTCGAATCGGAACAATGCTGTTTCACACAGCTCTACCTGCTGACCAGGGCTGGTGCAGGCAGGCTCAATCCCCCACAACTCATCAGGCAAACATCTGTTGGGTTGGGGGTGGAGACAGGGACTCAACTCATGGTGCTTTGTATAAAATGCCATGAGTTAGAGTGCAGCTCCTTAGTGTCTCTAGGCACCCAAAGAGACTTGCCTAAGGTCACGCTTTCTGCCTCAGTTGTATAGGAGTTGAGTTTTCTGAGGTTAGTGTATTGACAATATCATTTGTAATGCTGCAATAAAATAAGGTTTGTTTAAAATATTCTTGGGATTTTGTTTTATATTTTATATTTTAAAAGGGAAAAGAGTCAATAGTTATACTGAAATGAATGTCCCTTGTGACTTTATTGTGCAGTGTGATCTGAGATTTGGTTGCGTCAGCTGTGATCATAGAATAGGGTCCACTGATGGTGCATTTGTAAACAGCAAGTACAAAACCTACAGGCAAAAATATTTGATGATCTTTACAATCTACCCATCCTAGGCACTAGCCTGCATGTTAGCAGGAAGGATTCACACAGCACTAGGAACAGTCCCCTAAGGACACAACCCAGAAACAAGTGAGATTTCAGAACTCTTTTGATAGCCGCTCAGCATCTTTGCTCCCTTACTAGCTCCACTTACCTGTTTCTTTCCCTGTTAAATTCATTTTCCTTACAGGATCATAAATATCTAATGAGGATAAATCATGTTCCACTGCAATCTGGAATTCCCTTCCTTGATGGAAACACTTGAAGATGTTGGCCTCAACCAAGGCTGCCAGGGTCTGGATCATCTTATTCTTAGTCCATTCTGGGAGGATGTGGAACAGCAGCTCCGTAGTGAAATTTTGCCCAATGACTGCTGCACACTTCACAACCATCTGCTCCGAAGGACTCATGTTGTCTATCTCAGCCAGTGCAATTCCTGCAAAAGAAAGTCACCCATTTCCATTTTGCTTGCTCCTGTGAGACAATGATTATGGTGGTGAGGGCATGGAAATCCTGACTGGATCCTTGTCCTCTTTATTCTTGACAACTAAACAGAGCTGTGAAAGCCCACTCTTCAATTGTCAATTGTGGAAGCTGCCTTCATTGGTTATAAGGAAACCATCCTTTTTACTTTTTTCCTGCCCATGATCCAGAACCCACTATAAATGGTCAGTCAATTGATTTGACTGCAGGTTTATTAAGCAGACCATGTTATATTAATGCATGTAATTCTTTGTTCTTCATGAGTCTAAAAAGCAGCTTCCCAGAGTAGTGGCACAATTCTGTGGCTCCAAAGTACCCTCAATCAGTGAGATCAGTGTGAGAAAAAAATGTCTTGACTAAACACTTGAAACAAATTAAGCCAATCAAAAATAGTTTTGAATTCAAGTATTGAATTTGGTGGATGGTCTGGACAAAAAAAAATGTTGGAAAAATTCATAAGACTTGAAAAATTGTGTTTCAAGATGTATAAATATCTTGATTCAATATTTGAGGCCAAATTAGTTGCAGTTTCTTTTTTTTTTTTAATTAGAAGTAAAACAATAAAGGTTTATTTAACCTCAAAGTGTGTGCGTGTGCACGTACGTGTGCATTTCAACAAGAAAGGCAAAACATTTAACTATCTGGTCAACCCAAAGCAGAATTTTGCTCTACATCAAACTGGAAAATTAATTCCCTGCACAGTTTATATGGATTATTGGATTGGAGCCATGGAGTGATATCCAGAATACACAGGATTTTGCAGGGCTGGATCTCAAGATCCAAATTTATTCCCTGACAGGAAAGGTCAGTCTGTCTTTAAAACTCAAAATCACCCTTCTCTGCAGTGTTTCATACCTGCACTGTCTGCAGCTTTCAGGTTTCCATGCTTTCTAAGCTGCTATCCTTGAGGGGGCAGGGAGGAGCATTATACAGCCCCCAAATCAAAGAAGCCAGGCTCAGACCCTCACCTTTTAATGAAGGGGGAAGTGTTATATTCTGCAACTTCACATTCTGACAGATGGTACAAATGTATAACTCTTTCTCTGCGCTCTCTAAACTGATGGATGATGATGTTTTGAAGGTCATGCCTTTGACTGGATTGGCTGCATGGAGAGAAAAACAGAAAAAGCAAGACTGGGCAAGATCTGCAAGGAGTGTACAGCCATTTTATTATACCTGTTGCCTGGAATAAATGCTATAAGTAAGAATGCAAGATGTTTCTTAGTGCAACCCCTTGTTTCCACTGTTTTCCAAGTCATTTGATTGTTTGGCCCAAGCTTTCCATGTTTGGTCCTTGCTCACGGGTAGTTTCCAAAAGTCACAGACTAGATCAAGCATGTAGTCCATCTCATTTCATATTCTATCCTCACAAAATGCTTCCAAGGAAAGAGCGAACACTCCTTTATGGAAAATGGACAATAGGCCTGTGGAGGGAGTCTCATCTTGAATTCCAAGCAGTGAACACTGGGTTCATGTCCTGAAGGAGGACAGAAAGAGAACCCGAAGAGGTTCTGTCCTTTATGTCAGGGGTTGGCAGGCTATGGCCCATGGGTCAGATCCAGACTGCAGAGCCATTGGATCTGGCATGTGAACCTAGGTGGCTTTGGCAACATTCAGTGACAACGGGCTTCAGTGGTGTTTATTTGCTGAGTGGCAAAGGGAAGCAGTGGCAATGGCAGTGGCAGGGTCATTACAGCCATGGGAGGATCTAGAATTTTGAAAAGGGGAGGTGCAGATGAAGAGGTGCATCATCACATATAAAACAACACATACTTTTTCTCCAATTAAAAATATACTAGAAGCTTTATTAATATACTAGGGGCCTATGGCTGCACTACTCAATTTAAGATTGAAGCAAAAAACAATTGGAATCATTTAAAAATGATTTGCACAGCTGTGAAATACAAGTTTTATTACTAGGTGCAGGTAACAGACAGCAGAATTTCAGAACAAAGTGTAGCTTGACTAGTGGAATATCAAGGCCATTAAAAAGTAGAGAGGGTCATTAACACCTGTGGAATGAAGAATTTAGAAGGGATCAGGTAGATTACAGTGAGCCATGAAGTTAAATGACTTTATCAGTACTTCCTAACTAGAAATGTTGCTACCACTGCCAGGAAATTGGTTTTAAACTTTGGGTGAGCAGGAATCTAAGGGGAAGAGGATGAAAGTGAACCCCCCTGGATCTGCTTCTGTTTCCAGCCCACCCACACAAAAAGTGAATGAATATTGCTCTATATTTTTATAGCTAGTGTAACTGCAGATGCTATTATAAATATCTAGCTCTTTGAAAGACTTTTTTTCTCAGCAATATGTCAAACCCACAGATTAATGATGTGATGTATAGAGAAATGTTTCCTTTAATGTTTTAAACCTGGATGTTACTGATAGTAGGAAATCAATTGATTAACAGCCAGTTAACCAATTGAGCCCTATCTGCCAAATGCAACCTTTTGCCATTCAGTGACAAACAAAAATATTCAGATAATCCAAAACTAACAAAGTTAGTATATAACAAAACAGTATAAACCAAAAAGAAAAAAATATAAGAATACAAAGTAATAATTTTCTTACCAAGTTTCCTTCCTCTACCTTCTCTCCAAGGTGGAAAGCAATCCTGCTGATTTTACACCTCTATTCCCAATGTGAGCTTTTGGAGTCTAACTTAAATAGTCTAGGGAGTAAGGGTGGAACGCTCAAGGAATCTCTCTCCTGAAGACCCCACAGAACCAGACAAAGCCAGTTCTTCAGTTAAACAAGGCTGAACATCCTAGGAAAATCCAACTCCTAGGACATTTGCCTCTTCATTTGGACAACTAATTGGTACTAGCCCATAAATTGCTCATCTAACACACTTATGTGTTCCCCACTAGCTAAATTAAAGCTCATTAACACATTGGCTTTTTTTAGCAACTGTCAGAGACGTCTAGGAAAACAACCCTTGGCATAAGCATGCAATCAAATTGCATAATTCAATAACCATCAACGATATACTTAACTGAGCCTACAGTATGCAATTTATGTACAATCTTGTCCGTAATGTATGTAAGCAACTTGTATGTCAACAGTTGTTTTTGCATGTCATTGAGTCCCAGGTTTTATTATTATGAGAAGCTGTAACAATGCATTAAAAAAGGCATAACACAGAGCTGGCGCCTATTATTAAGGTTGTTACCACATAGCATTATAACCCTCCTTTTCAGTGGTTTATAACACAATCCTAGTTTTGTTAGGATTTAAGCTTTGAGGTTGTCATTTTCCAGGTTTGGCTTTTGCTTTACACTGGGTACTTTTGAACCATTTGGTTTAAAATGGTACAGGTGTTTTGTCAATGGATTTTTCCCATTGTAAACCAAACAAAATACATGCTCCCATCTCTTTAGAACAGCTTTAGCAGCTCAAGAATTTGAAGTAGAAAAGGAAATTTGAACAGGGAAATTCACCTGAAGTCAAACAACTGTTTTTCAGTGAATCAATGAAAATCCACCTACATTTGTTGAAGTCATAGCAAAAAATAAACAGATTGTCTTGTTCATCTATGCAGTAGGATTTATTCCATGGGTAGTCACTTTCTTTCCTAACCACAGGATCTCCAAGTTCAGTTTCTGGCTATATTACACTGTTTCCAGGCTCATGTAAGCATCTGGTAATTTATTTTCCAAATCAACTGCACAGAAGTAACAGAAATGAGTTCCTCTTCCTGTTAGTATTTCTCAAACTATTCCTTGGCTGACAGAAAAAAAAAAACTAGGCTGGGAAATGAGAAAAAATGAGGTTTCTCCCCATTGTTTAGTATTAATCCTGATCAAGGCCTGAAACCCTTACCCTAGAAGGAGGCATATCCCCCCATCATCTAATGGGAAAAAACTAAAGACAAGAGAGGCTGCACAAGGTCGTTTCCAGTACAGCAGAGAATAAGAGCCAAGTCATGTGGAGGGAGGTGAGAGGAAAACAGAGCACTGTGGGATTCTGGAGGATTTATACATGCCCTGTCCCTGTGCACACATAACAAGAAGTTAACTGTTCAAAAATAATAGCTCATTCCAAGAGGTTCTATTTTGGAGCACTTCAGCCAGTTTTGGAACATTTCAAAGGGCATGTACATTTGTATAACTGGCCCTTTGAAGTGTTTCAAAGGCATTTGAAACATTTCACTTCTTACTTGTGTCCATACCCCGCCATAACCAGGGACAGAAGACAGGACACCTGATAGCATTCTACTGCTGCCAGAAAGCTGTTGCACATCATGGATTTTTCAGTATCCATTTCCCCTGCTTACACTTGTAACCCGGGCAGTACTCCAAAAGGTAACCCCTCTCCAATTGAAGGGATCAAAGCAGGCGCACAAGCACTGTGGGAGGTGTAGGGACTCTCCTCCCCCTATAGAGCAGAGCCAGACCACCACTGGGGACTTAACCACACTTACAATCATTAATAAAAGACAGGGTTAACAAAATATAAAACACAAACAGCAGAGCAAACAATACTGGTTGGGGAAATATAAAAAGGCACAAAATACAGAACGTTAAAGAAATATAGGGCCTAGGTACCTGGAGGAGGAGAAAGGGGGAAATCACAATGGCCCCTTTCCACTGCAAGAGGAATTTCTCCTTGTTAACTTGCTCACCCCAAGTCACCAAAGTTGGGACTTAAACTTAGATCTCCCATGTGGTAGGGAGGAACCCTGCCACCCAGCCACCAGTGCTAGTATGGCTCTAAGCTGCTAGGGGTCTTGACCTTTCTGGAGCCCCGGCCTCACGTCGAGCTGCCTGGTCTCTGATTAGAGAAGCTGGAAGCCAAGCTGGGAACCTCTCACATCGCTGCTCAGATCCTTGCTGAAGCAGGAAGCCTCTTCTGCTGGCCACAGCCTCTCGTAGGGGATCCTGGAGCCCAGTGGGGAGCCTCTCCTGCCGGCCACACACCGTGCTGCTGAGGGTCCAACTGCTGCCTGCTGGTCCTGCTGCTTCAGGCTCTTCTAGGGCAACTGCTTCCGCCCCGCTGGCTCAGCTCTTGCCAGCTCTTTGAAGCTCCTTCCTCGTGGTCCCTCACTGGTCTCCCCCAAGTCAGCCATGCTGCCCCTTTTATCCCCCTCCAGGTGACCCAAGGGGCCAATCAGGGGACATGAGGGGTGAATCTCTGGGGCCTGATTGGTGAGGAAAGGGAATCCCAAGTCCTCCAATCATCTTTTACCCCTTCAAAACCCCTGGGCTAGGTCACAGCCAGCTAGCCCATCACACACTGATGCCCTTCCCCTTGCCCCCCGCCCCCACCTCCATCTCTCTCTCTCTCTCCTTTCTAGCCAACTCAGTTCTCCTTCCTTTTTACATTATCCCTCAATAGGTCTCCTCCTTTTCCCAAGCACCCTCATTTGGTTTCCTGCTTTCCCTGAACCCCACCGATCAGTGGTTAACAAATGTCCAAAGAAGAGGTAAGAAATACTATGGAGGATGAGTTATTCTCTTGAGTACAGTATAAAATGGTTCACAGCATGTGAAAAAGTAAATGAAGAGGAGCTTACTAAAAAGTCTCTCCCACTCATCCTCTATTTCTTCCTCTTCATCCAGCACGTGGAACATGAGGGCATTGTGTAAATAGAGGTTCCGTAGCAGCTCTTCACAATAATATGGGATTCCATGGCTCCTTTGTATCAAGAACCTAAAGAGCGGTGAAACGGTCCTTTACTGATCCAGTACAATAAAGGAATGAAACACATTTCAGGTGATAGAAGCCACTTTGAAAATGTTGCTCCAAGTGTGCACCTTTTGGATTAAACCTCCATTGCAAGGTTGTCTACTATTGCAGGGTATTGAACTTGGTGACCCAGGCAGTCCACTCCCCTCATGTTCCTAGGAAATCTAAGCAGTCCTGAAGATACAGAATGTTTCCTAGACTAAATAAGCAGCAGAATTAGGGCAGGGAATTAGCCTCTTAGGAAAACAACTTCATATTAATGAGATAATGAGTTTAAATACAATGAGCCATATCTTTTGCTGGTGTAAAGTCAATGGAAACAGGCCAGCCTATATCACCTTATGATTTGGGTCCTATTTTTTTAAGTGTATAAACCTATGTATCATTAAAAATTTTTGCACTTCAGCTTACCACAAATGAAAGCACTGATGGCATTTGTACACATGCTTGCGCCACAGTGCTGGGCGCTTTTAAAAGTGCCCAGCGCTGTGGCGCGTGCATTTGTATAAAAGGCGAAATGCACATCAGCACTAAGAAAATGGCAGCAGCACATTTTTTAAATAAAACATGTCAAAAGTGTTTTAGTTCAAAAGCACACAGCTGCCATTTTCTCAGTGCTAACACGCATTTCGTCATTTGTAGAAATGCATGCAACCAACGCTAGACATGTCAGATTGTGTGCAGAACAGACTTGATTAATCGAGTCTGCTCCAACATGCTGGAGATCCAGCACATTGGAACAGACAAATGTATGTGTATAAATGTCCTGAAAGCTTAGATCAGCTCTACTACCTCATCACTCAGTGAATACTACATTTGGCCCCACAAAGTTCTAAGCCTTCATTACTCTCCTCTAAGATTTTCCTTCAGATGCCTGTCTTCCTTCTCCCATTGTACTGCCCTATTGGCAGGAAAACATTTCCCAATAAATTGCATCTAGTCCAGGGATGGGCAAAATGGCAGATCCAGCTGGCACCCAGACTCCATTTCCCAGTAGCCCCTGCCCAAGTCGCTGCAGTCAGTTTCCTTGGAAACCCCAGGAACAGCATGGCCATGACAGCATGGGGCCAGAATGTCCAGGGAGACTGGCCCCAGCAGCCCTGGCAGAACATGTGGCTGGACAAGGAGCTGCTGCGGGGATGGGGCCAGGGCTAGGATCTTGCAGAAATGACAGCATGGTCCAGAGCCGGAGCAGAGCTGGGATCTGCTGCCTGCATGCCCTGCCAGGGCACAGCTATGATTCATTGCCTGCATGCTGCCCCTGCCCAAGGTATGTGGGCAGCAGATCACAGCTCTGCCCTAGCTCCAGACCACACTGTCACTGCTGCAAGACCCCCGCTGCAAAGCAGCTCCCCAGCTCAGCCACATGCTCTGCCAGCACTGCTAGGGCCGGTCTCCATGGAAACCCTGGCCCCACACTGTCACAGCCCCACCACTCCTGGGGTCTGCATGGAAACCAACCACAGCAATGCCGACAAGGCTTCTGGGAAATGGAGTCTGCTGCAGACCCAATCGGGACCATGGGCCAGACTTTGTCTGCCCCAATCTAGTCCCTACCTTGTCTTCTTTCAGATCTATTTCTAAAGCTCCCTCTGCCACTACATCCACAAAACAAGATTCTCAAATTCAAAAGGTACTTGAGTTTGTGTTCACTTGTATGTTGTTGAAAGTCAAGATCATGTAGCATGAGAAAGACCCTAGGTACGTCGGACTTCTCCCAGCTGTCTTATCACCAATTCCTTCCCACGAGGGACAAATGGCTGTTAGGATTAAGGAGCTTTGGGAGCAAGGAGTACACTTCTCCTTACAACTCAATATCATCCCTGTAAGTCACAAATAACTGTGCCTTTCTGTTTATTTTCATAAGTATTGCAGAACAGTAGTTGAAAATCTAAGATTCCTCTTCCTCATCTGCCCTTTGAAGCTGCCCCATTCTGTGCTCCTCCTCAGCAAACTGTTCTAGCATTTCCCAGAGCAACACGGACTTCCACCTAGCAAACATGTTGTCATGTACTTTGAAGCCAGAACCATACAAGGCAGTGACAAGACAATTTCTCACTGTCTTGGCTTTTCCCTGGCGGAAGCAGCATACACAAGTATAGTTAGTACCAAAGATGTACTCTGGGGTGCTATGCTGTTTGACTGTCCTGACCCAGCTCTCCTGGGTCCTACAGACACAGACACTTTATCAAGAGCACTGGGGTTCCTCGTCTACGGCCCTGCACCCATTTGTTTTGCTAAGGCAATGTGGCTTACTACTGAGATCACAGAGCAAGTATTTTGTTACTTACGTTTCTAATTCCCTAGGGATACTAACTACTCCAAGGTCCTGGCAAGCTTTCTGCAGGATCACAGAAGGCTTCAGCTCCCTCAGCTGAACATAAGTGGTTTGGGGGCTCTTTATGATGTTTACTGCAGAGGGGCAAGGCTGCCGTGCTCTGTAGTGGAAAGGTGATAATGCCATGATCATAAAGATTGGGACCTTGGAGAGCAAGTTTTCCAAATATTCCCAGGAGGCAGAGTCAATGAACTGGGCTTCGTCAATGACAAAAATGAGAAGGTCTTTCTTTACTGCCTGAAAAAGAAAAACAAAGAATCCCCAAATAAGGTGTTGCTTCAATGCTGAGGAGTTTGTATTCAGACCTAGACTGGGATGTAAGGCTGTCATAAAGACCACCCCAACTCTTGTGACTGCTACTTCAACTATGGGGTGGAAGAGCAGCTGTAACACCCTTTTGTTGATTAGATCAAGTACTGGGATCTGCATAACAGTGAATCTATGGTCCCTCCTTTGTTCTACTCCTAAACCACCCTCATAGTGAAGGTTTCATAGTGTTCACCTCACTGCAGCCATATAGCCCACTGGCCCTTCCCCACTCATGCAGCCCCATATGTGAGGCTTAAGTTGGTAACATACCTCCCCTAATTATACTTTATTTGCTACTTTGGGGGTGTGGGTTGTATGGGAGAGAGAGGAGAACCAAGCTCTCAGGCAAAGGCTAGAGCCAATTTAACAGAATATCCATGCAGTAAACTATGTTGGAAAAGAGGTCAAGTAACACTCTACGAGAAGAGATCTGTCCAGCTCCAGAGAACATGGCCTCTAATTTTATATATGCTTGAGTGAAGATTTATAATGGGAATTAGAGTAGGGGCCATAAGGAGGGAATGCTTAAATAAAGGGTACCAGGTACAACCATATTTCTAGCCTGCTGACACACTGTTCACTAGCAATCTAAAATTCCTAATGCAGAGTCAGGATGTTACTTTGCTGTTTCATGATGGAGCAGATTACTCACTCTCTGTAGTATTTCCATAAGAAATTTTTCCATTTTTATTTTTCTTTCTTCACTGTCCATTTTAGAAACCTCCTCGGAGATGGGAAACTAGTCAGAACATCAGAACAGTTAGTTACAGACATGGTATTTCTGCCAATCATATATACATTCAGCAGAAGAGGCTTGAGGGAAAAGTCCCTCAGCTTATGGAGGTCCAAGTGTTATTCCCAGTGTCTACCCTTTTACACAGGAACTACACAGTATAGAGTATGAGGAGCTGTGGGTTCCACCATCAGTCTAAAACCAACACAGCTGAACAGTGAAGCTACCAATAGTCCTGCTCTCAACTGGGGGATTATAATAGGAAGCCAAAGGCTACTGTTACTAAAGAAGAGATTTTTTAACTGAAGGAAAATTTTTCATCTCCCAAATCAAATCAGCCAAATCAATTCCAAATCTGTGTGAATCATCCAAGAACCATATGTGGCCCTGCTAACAGCAAGTACCCTCCACACCAGCCTGGGACTTCAGATACTTCCAAATCCTTTGGCAGGCATCCTATGTGCAGGCCCAAGCCCAGAGACTTGGGGCTCAGAGGCCTCCGAGTTTCACTTGCCTTCGACTGTATGGCTGCAGGAGCAAGCTAGGGAGAAGTCTCCCATTTCCATAAAGTCTGGGTGTAGCTGAGATCCTCCCACTAGAAGCTGGATTGGGAAGCTAACTATGAGGCTCTCGTAGGGAGTCTCGTCCACAAGCAGACAAAGGTACAACCCTCCACTACACAGTGCCATTTTAATTGCATTACCTCGGTCAGGGTATTTCTCCTGTCAGGTAAGTAAAGAGGAGATTGCCAGCAGCAAAGTCCAGCAACAGCCAGGGAGCAGGGAAAGCCAAATGTTAGAATTAGCTAAATCAGGGGTGGGCAAAATACGGTCTGTGGGCCACATCCAGCCCACAAGGCCATTTTATCTGGCCTGCGGGGCCCCTAAAAAAATTTAGAAAATTAAAATTTATCTGTCCTTGGTGCCTGTCAAAGATGATAGGAACCAAGGGCAGTAGGAGCAAGGGGAAGCCCTGGATGGCTTCTTCAACAGCAGGGCCTGCCTGGCCCCGGCCCTACCCCCGCGGCCGGAAGCCCCAGGATGGGCTTCTGGCCTGGGACAATGTGGCTGCCCCGGTGCAGGAAGCTCAGGTAAGTGGGCAGGAGATGAGCTGCTGCAGAGCACGGGGAAAAGTGGCCCCTCCCCCGCCCCATATCCAGAGCTCCCTGCTGCAGCCACTCGCAGCCCGCAACATCAGCTGCAGCCCACCCACTTGCCATGCCAGGCAGTTTGCTGCTGCTGCCCAGCGTGTGAACTCCAGGTGGGCAACAGCAGCCAACGCTGCCTGACGTGGTACGTGGAGGGGCCACAGCTGCTGCTGCCACGGCACAGCCCCAATGGGCAAGCCCAGAGTTGGCATGGGGCCCAGGCTGGCAGCGGGGCGGCTTACAAGCTGGTGCTGAGTGCAGGGAAAAAGTGGCCCCTAGCAGAGAGCGCCGGCCACAGGGCAGGCGAGGGGCCGCCTTTCCTCCGTGCTCAGCACCAGCTCCTTCTCTGCCAGCAAACAGGGGGTCAGGGCTGTGTGCTGCCCCCCGCCTGTACCGCAGGGCTGGGGGGCACTGGGAGCAAGCAGGTGTGGGAGCACAGAGCCCACACCTGTGTCCCAGGGCCAGTGCCAGCAGGGCCCAGAGCAGGGCGGCAGGGGTACAGGGTCCCGGCTGGCCGGGGCGCTGTGGGGGTCGGGCCGCTC